CCGCCAGGTACGGCCGCGCTCACCGGCCCGGCCCGGCCCGGCCCGGCCGGCAGCGCCGCTGCTGCCCCGCGCTCCCGGACGCCGCCGGTATTAAAGGCGGCCGAGAGGCGCTTATTAATAACTTGACCCCGCAGGCAAACATTTGCTGAATGCCTGGGCTGGAGCGGCGTTTCGGGGCGGGGGGGCGGCCAGGGGAGGGGGCGGCGGCCGGGGTTCAGAGAGGCACGAACTTACACAGGATCCGAGGTGGCTCTCAAGAGGAGTTTGCCAAGGACACTCTAAAGAAAGTGCAAAAACTTTGCCAGGAAAAAAAGTCGGGATGAGAGAAAGAGAGTCTACTTCAGTGACCTCTCTTAGCCTTTTAATCTATTTAACATCCTAAGCCCACACTGATGTGTAGAAATAAGTAAATGGTACTCCTCAAGCCTTAAGAGCTCTTCAGCATCAAATATTTGCACTTACTCTTAGAGTTTTTCTCAAATAGCGCGAGACACATTCTCCTTGGACGAGCCGAGCTGTCTAAATATACCTACGCATTGTTATCTGCGGGAAATAGTTCGCTTCAAAGGGCGAACGTAATAACCTGAAATGTTTCATCTCTTGTTTTGCTTGGGACCGACTCGGAGACTTTTCAGCTCCGGCTGCCCGGCCTCATTTCGGGGTTTGCCGGTTCAGGTTTCGCCCTCTCCCGCGCCACTTGGGCGTTGGGGCCGGGGAGCGCTCTCCCCCACGGCACCCAGGCCCCGCCGTCCCCCCGGGGTGGGCGTCCTTTCACCCGGGGGGGGTTTGCCGCTCACCCCTCCGCACAGGCCGCCCCGCCGTCCCGCGGTGGCCCCGGACGACCGGTAGCCCCGGGGCCCCACCCCAGAGCCGCCTCTTTCCCGACGGCACCCACGGGGATGAGACGGGGCAGGCGTTTCTCCGGGGGTGCAACACGGAAGCGGCAGCGCCCACGCGTGTGCTCCACGACCCCGTCGGCGTGGGCCCACGGGGTGAGACCGCGTCCGTCTCCGTGGGCCCGGCCGCCCCGTCCCTTCCGCTAAATCCACAGAAACACTTCGGGGGCCCCGGCGCGTTTAAATGAATTTCCACGCTTCCAAAGGGGTAAAGAAAAAACCCACAACCACACTGAAAATTAAACCCGTTTGTTTCCACGCTGTTCGCCGCCGACCGTGCTTGGTTGCAGCCCATGTGAAACAGGGCAGGACAGCGAGGAGCGGGGGAAACCGGCCGTGCGCCCGCAGCGGCCGGAGCCGGGCGAAGGGGAAGGGGGGGCGGTGGCCGTGGCCCTCCGTGGGGATGCCCCCCACCCGCGGCCACCCGTGGAGGGAACACCCTGCAGCGCCGAGTCGGCTGCTCGCACCCCGGCAAACCGGGGTCTGGGACGGAGACGACGGGGCCTCCAGCCCGAGTTGTGGCCCGGCCCTTTCGGGATATCCCGGGGCCGGGTCGGACCGTCCCGTCGGGGCTCCGGCCGCCCTCTTGCCCCGCTGCCCTCCCCACCGGCCCCCGCCGGGGAACTCGGGCTGTTAAAAACACCTCCGACCACCTGAGAAAATAGCGGCTTATTCTCCCTCTTTTTTTTTTTTTTTTTTTGAATGGGTTCATTTATTGTGCTCAGTGGAGGATTGCAAAGCAGATTGACCAAATCGACGTATGTGGGATGCCGAAATCGAGCATTTTCCTGCAATGGTTGATTGTGTCTACACCTCGAGAGGAGGGGAAAAAAAAAATTATATCAATAGAAGTGGCCGTCTGGCTCTGGTTGTCGTAGTCCCGGCTTTAAGGATGGACTCTCCACAGGGCTGAGCCAGATGAGCGTGGGGCAACGCTAAGAGCCAGGAGAAGCCTTCTTGCTGGGAGGCTTCCAAGCAGACTGGATGCGGTTGCCGTGTTAGGTTAAATCCCTGGGATAAAAGCTATGGGGACAACACACCTCGCCAGGCTGACACCCACGGGTTGGTTGATGACTTGGGAACGGGTACGGAAAATGAGTGACTTCGCAAACATCACAAAAAAAGCCCATACCAGAGCTGGCAAATGAACCCCCTGACCGAGAGCTTCCTTTCTCTAGAATACTGGATTTTAGTAATTTAATCTGTATACAACATACCTACGAGGGAGTTAAACTCAGTACTTCGACTTTACCGGAAAGAAAACCTGACCTCACAGAATTCAATGTGAATTTTAGAAGTGATTTTAAAACAGGCACGATTCCACCTTTCTATAAAAACAAATAACCCTCTACTTCATTTTTCCAATAATGAACATTTCCATAACTTTGCACCCTTTTCCTTCATCATCTCCTGAAAATAGTATCCTTACCTCTCAACAACTTTGTCTTT